GATCCCAACCCCACATCTCATCCCCCTATAGCAATAGGGAGCACCCCGAGCCCCTCCCCCACCGCAGCTCCGTCCCGCCCCCGGACTCTCATTGGTCAGGACCAGTTCCGGCCCGTTCGTGCCTCTGATTGGTCAACGGCAGCGCCGTCGGCTCCAATTGGCTGAGGCGCAACGCGCGAACGGCCGTTGGCAGCCGGCTCTCCCATCAGGCAGTGCCGGTCCCACAGCCGCTGCGCGCCGGAGATCCGGGCAGCACCGAGACGGAACCGCGGCACGACAGGAGTGGCGCTGAGCACAGCGGCGCCGGAGCCGGGAGGGACGGAGAGCGGCACCGGGCCGGGGAAGGAACCCTGCGCACCCATCAGCCACCTCTGTGTGGGGTGAGGGGCTGGGAGCGGTGCTGGGATGTGGGGATGTGGGGATGTGGAGATGTGGAGATGTGGATGGAGACAGGATGGGGTGTGGGGAAGTGGGATATATATGGGATGGGCTGTGGATGTGGAATGGATGTAGGGTCGATATGGGGCTCCGGGGAGCTCTGGGAGAGATAGAGGGGGCTGACGGGGAAATAGAGGGGGGCTAGGAAGCTGTGGGGAGCTGGGGAGGGCTGTGGGGGGGCAGGGGGCTGCAGAAGGCTGTTGGGGTGTGAGGCACACGGGGCTGGAGTGGACTATGATAGGGGATTGGGGTATGGGACTCCAGGGGTGGGTCTAGGGGGATTTGGGGCAACAGAGGGCTGTGAGAAGGTTAGGGGGGACACGGTGCTATAGGGAGCATTGAGGGGGTTTGTGGAGGGGCTCCAGGGGCTGGGGAGAGCTGCTGGGAGGGATATAGGAGACTCGGGGAGGATATTAGAGAATGTGGTTGTATAGATGTCTGTAGGGGGCGAATAGGTGGGCTAGAAGGGGATATGGGGCTAGAGGGAGCAGTGGGAGGGCTATAGGTGTGATATGGAGAAGCAGGTGCAATAGGGGTCTGTGGAGGGGTACAGGTGGGACATAGGCAGATATGAGGTTATAAAAGGCTGTAGGGGAGCTACAGGAGGCTTGCATAGGCTCTAGTAAAGTATAGGGTAATATGGGGCTATGGAGGGGCTATAGGGTAATGTGGGGAGAGGAGGCATAGGTAAAGGCCCAGATATAGAAAGGATAAGGGGGATAAAGGGGGCCAATGGGTGGATATAAAGTAACTTCAGGGGGCTGAAGGAAAAAGTAATAAAATAAAAAGTGAGAAAAGATAAAAAGACTAAAAAAGAAAAACCAATCAAGAAACAAACAAGCAACAACAACAAAAAACGGAGAGGGTTGTAAGGAAAGTAGAAAGAAAGAGGAAAAAAAGAGAATAAAAAGTGAAAAGCAATGCATGTAGAGAAAGCAAGTAGGAAAGCTAACTATAGCACAGCAAGGCAAGGCAAGGCAAAGAATGAAACAATGCAACCTTGCAGGAATGGAGGAATGGGGAAGAGCTGAGCGCCGGCTTGCCACAGGAGCTGCGCGGAAGGAGAAGAAGCTGGGCCCAAAGGTAAGAAGAGCTGCTTTGGGTTGTGGGCTTGAAGCCAAGCTGAGAAGCCATGCCCGGGAGGAGGTGTGGGTAGCTGCAGGCCACCTTGCCGTCTCCCCAGGAGATGTGAGCTGTGGGCTGGGCAGGGGCAGGACTGTTGGCCAGAAGCAGGCATCTCTTGGAGGAAGGCAAAGTGCAGAGGAGGTTGAAGGGAAGCTACCGGGCACAGCCTCACTCAGCAAGGGGAGGCAAAGCCTGAAGGGCACAAGAAGTTGGGCATAAGGCAAGGGGGAAGAGGAGGGGAAAGGGAGGAAAGGGGAGGGGAGAAGGAGGAAGGAGAAAATGAGAGGCAGGGGCGAGGGGAGGGGAGAGTGGTGGGGTGGGGAGGGTTGAAGGGGAAATAATGCTAAAAAACAGGCTTCTGTTTTGGCATTAAAAGAGCAAAGTGAATCTCTTGATTTGCACGAAGCAGCACAAACACCACTGCAGTGATTTTCCTTCTCCTTTGACAGCATCTCTGTGTTTTTAATGTCCCTTCCCAACCCAGCCGTTCCAACACTCCATGTTTCCGCGCCGTCCACCTGAATATCAGTGGCCTCCTGCTGCTCCTCGGATGGCTGGGGATCCTCCCCCAGCACGGCAGCGCAGGCAGCGAGCCCAGGGGCAGCCGGCCCTGGTGGCGGAGCAGCCGTGCCTCATGCCGTGAGCTCACGATGCTCAGCCTCGTGCCGTGAGCTCACAATGCTCAGCCCATGCTCCCAGGTGTTCCGTGCCGGCCAGCGGCACTCACTTGGCTGCAGCGCTGGTGGTGGCAGCATGGCACGAGTGTGGGGGGCTGCGGCCCCCACCCGCCTTGCTCTCCTCCTCCTACTGGTGGCCATGTGTTTCCAGGAGACTCGTGCTGCTCCGTGGCGAGCACCAGCAGGTGGGTGGACAGAGACGGGGCCGAAATCGAGTGGCGGCGAGGGCGAGAGGTCTGGGCTCTCGTCCGCGTGTGCCACGCCGCCCCGCGGCTGCCTGCTGTGGGGGTTTGGGCACTGCAGGAGCCGGGCGAGGGCATGAGGAAACGATGCTCTGCAGGCCATGCCGGGCCGTGGCTCTGCTGCTGGCTGAGCGGCTCTTCGCCTGGGGTGTCCTGGGGGAGCTCAGAAGATGTGTGCTGGGAAAAGCGGGAGCATTTCTACTCTGGCTTCTTGGTGCTTCCCGCAGACAAATCCCAGCTCCCCAACAGAGCCTGCCAGCCGGAGCCCAGAGCGACAAACAGGCATCATTTCCGCTAGTGCTTTAGAGTGAGATACAGCAGTGATTTCCCAGTAAGAAAGCCCTGACGGGCTGTGTGCCCTTCCGTGTGGTCCCAGCGGCGCATTGCACGTGGCCTGGAGAGAGCATTTGGAAAGCTGCTGAGAGCCAGGCTCCAGGTCGCCCTGGCCACTCTGCAGCCTTGGCGATCACGGCTTGAGTCTCCCATCCCGTTACCTGACCCCTCCCCAGTCACTAGGGGAAAAGGAGATCTCGACATGCAATGGGAATGAGTCTCATCTGTTCTTGATTCTAGATGATGACGCTGATGCTCCTTATCCAGATGATTGGGTGGACACTGCTTTTGTGCCTGAGGGGAACCCCAGAGGTAAGTTGTGTCTGTTTCCTTGAAGGCAGAAAAATTAGCGCTGTCATAGTTTATTCAGGAACCTCCAAAGGTCTTTCAAGTCTCTTTGTGCCTTAAAGGCCCTGTTCTGTACACAGAACAGTCCTGAGTATTTCTTTACTTGGAGAACTTCCCATTTCAGTGGGAAAGCAGCCCTTGCCACTCTTTGGAGGAGAGAAGCTCTACGTTTGCTGTTTGGGCCATGTCTTTCCCCGACCTGCCACCAGTCCTTGCAGGTCACTGCAGAAAGACGAGGCCCCAAGGTGCGGTGGAAGCTGTCCTCACCTGTGTCTGATCACCTCTGTGCCTGCAGGTCCTCTTGGTGAATTACCAGAGCGGAGTCCTGTTGCTGAGCCTGGGCTGGATGCCAGAGGTGAGTCAGCAGCCTTCATCTCACGCTCTCTGCTCATATGTGGTTGTGGTAGTTGAGGAAGGGTTCAGCTTTTCACTGCCCGGTGATTTCTACTCCACGAGAAGCCTGGGTAGTCCCTGTTTCTTGGGTGCTGCGTGCTCCCAGTGTCCTGTTGGCTTCGTCTCTGTACATCAGAGATCTCTCCAGTAAGAAAGCCCAGATGTTTTTCCATGCTGTCTCTGAGGATTGTTTCACACAACCCAGAGAGAGTATCCGGAAAGCTGCTGAGCGCCAGCCAGCTGCCCACCTGGCACCTCTGCAACTTGCATAACTCTGTTACGCAGCTGTGTAGATTGCAGCATGTGATGGAAAGTTCTCCTCACCCTTTGGGTGCAGAAGTGCCTCCAGGGAAGACCGGGCAAAAATCCTTGGCTGCCTCCTGTGCTGGAGCCCCACAGGCGTCCCAGGGGTGGCTGTTGTCTTTATTGACTTCACCAAAAAGACCATTCAGTTCAATACTTTGTTTGTCTGAAATGTATTTTTGTGCTTTCTGTTAAGGTCCTGAGAGATGGAATGAGACATTGAGAATTGGAGAATATCCGCAGAGGCTCTCCCATGTCCTGAAGAAAATCATGAAGGAGAAGGCAGCACACGGTGGGTGTCTCTCTGTCTGTTCACTGAAAGACTCGGGAAGCTGAGTTTCTAGATAGATAAAGGAAGAAACTGTAATGTGCACAGCAGGAAAGGATGGATCAGAGCCCTCTGATCTGAACTGGCTGGTGGCATCATCTTGCAACTTGCCAGAATCACACAAGAAGCCTGCCTGCAACCTGCTGTCTCTCAGCAGGACAGGTCTTGCTGTCTGTGCTCGCAAACTGGGAAGTGTGCAGCACTTCAGTTTGTCTCACAGAATGGCACACAGTTTGGAGTAGAAATGAGGTGCACCACAAAAAGCCCAGGCTTTGTTCCTGAACTTTACTGATGTGTGTAGAGAACTGGTGCCTCCTGCAGATACCATCTTCCTGATGAGAAGCAGTTACTTACAACCCCACTCTCTTACCTCCTTTCTAAAGAGACAGACGGAGAGCCTGAGCACAGGGATGCATTTCAGGGAGGCAGCCGTCGCATGCCGCACGTCCCTCCGGGAGAAACAGAGGCCAAGCACACGACTGGCGCTCCAGGTAAAGCCCCTCCTAGAGCTCCATGGCCGTGGTCAGAGGTTGCTGCCCTTCCATCACACTCAGTTCCCAGGGATTTAGGAACTTTGGCCAGGGGAACCACATTCAGCAGGTGAGGAGAGGAAATAGGACCCTCCGACGTACCTCCCTCCCACAGTCCCTGCATTCCAGAGCTTGCTGTGCCCCCCTTGAGGCACGTGGCACACCAGCAGCCTGCAGTGGGATCCCTCCTGCAAACTGAGCTCCAGAGGGACGCACTGGCTCCTAGATGGGGCATAGATGGAGCCTCCCCGTCCTGCCTCCTCTTTGCCTGCACCATGCTGAGACTTTGCCTTTCTCTCATTCTTCACTGTGCTGTTAGAGCCCCAGGCAGCCCAGCACAACTGGATCCGTGGTTCTTTTCTGAAGAACCCGGGTGAGCAACAATCAGGCAGGAGTTCATAAAGGGGAGGAAACTAGGAGCATGCAAGTTGTGCCCACGCCGGGAGAAAGGCAAAAAGGGAGAGGCAGGTTCAGGTGCCTGCGGAGAGGGCCTGACTCTGCCTCCGAGGAGCAGGTTCCCAGTGAGAGAGGGGAGCTCAGGGCTTGTTCTTGTCCATGTCACTCATAGCAGCAATTGGTTAAAGAGATTCACACGCTCTCCTTCTGCTCTAAGGAATTTTCTTTAGTCAGACAACGTGCCCCAAGCGGTCACGATGTGCCTGCAGCAGCACTACCCAGCCTCACAAGGCAAGGGTGGGTGAGCGCAAAAGAAGTCTTAGAGCATGATGAAGAAGGAGCAAATCCATGGCCCAGGAACATTTGGAC